TCTCAGAAGAGGTTCACCTTTTCAATATTATGCTCGTTGAGATCAATGCTGACTCGTTCCTTGACGGCTTGCTCCTCAATCTCCTGCCGCCGTTTTTTCGCAGTATCTGCCTCATCCAAATATTTCTGCAAACAAAAACTTCAGAACATCTGTAAAGTAAAATCTTATCTATTTTACCTGCACAAATTCATGGAAAATCGACTTGACTTTAGCAGCGACAACATCTACTTTAGCTTTGGCAGCAGCAACTTCCTTGGCACACTCTTCTCGCTCTGAAACCTTCAAATCATTGAAGTTTAGGCGAATCGGTAGCGAAGAGTACCTGCTGTGGCAGCTTCTATCTCTGCTTTCTTGCTTGCAACTTCGGCTTCATCAGCGAGATTATTTTGAAGTTGTTCGTTAACGTACACAACTTGCTTCTCCATGTGCCCGATACGTTCAGTTAGCTTCTTAATGATTGAGTACATGTTGCACGAAAGAGGAAAAGAGTGGAGGTGGGGCAATCAAATCAGTTCTAACATTTACAAAATTTCTGCTGAGATAATCATTAGACAACATATTCAACAATTTAATGTGAACAAATCTTCGTCCTATAAGCAAACTGACCAGAATCTCATTGTCGCAAGCATTATACTGTGCTCGTAACCTGTTCGCATCGTTGCTCAGAGCGAATATCTTCTGTTCGATCTGAAGCAAAATTCTGTATCTTTCCCTAAACCGCATGTAATTCAAATTTACCTGCCGACAATTTGCAGAAGTTTCCGCTAACTTCTCATTTTTCTCATCCAACTCCCTGATCATAGCAGGCAGCCTTGACTGCGCTTCACGTATCGCATTCTCAGCTTGTCCTTTCTCTTTATTACCCATCAATCCACTGAAATGTGGGAAGGATACTAATGCAGGACATTATCTTCGGGATCCACGACGTACTATTTTGGAGCTCCACCGCCAGAAACTGTCCCTGAGCTATCTATGACCTGGCCGAGGAGTGTCACAATACGTAATGCTGAAACTTGGAGATGAACATGGGCTTTT